AGAGGAGAATGGAGAAGGAATTGTCACATGGCTATCCCCCACAGGGGGGGGTGGGGGGGTGATTCCCTGCTTTCCTTTTTTTAGGTGGCCTAAGAGAATAAGGCATGGCCATCCTCCCCAGGGTTGATTTCTCACTTTCTCTCTGTCGTTTTTTCTTTTTCAAAAACAAACACAAAATAAAAGTGTCCAGAAGTTGTATGAATACTAAAGGCGCAGTACTTTGCATACTCATTCTTGGAGAAATTCTGCCCTTTTTTGAAGAAAACACTTTAGTAAGCAATTGGTATTGGTCTAAAGGCAATTTCAAAATTTTATTCTGGAATTACTTTTTTTTTCTTTAAATTTATTTGTTTACGTTCATTCACTGTACATCATTACAGCATACAAAATGAGATTTTTCCATCCAGAGTACACTGTATATTGTCTCAGTCAAGCACATCAACATACATGTTATTGTCAACAAATGATTTTCCATTTCTTGTTTCCTGTATGTTTTGCTCCCCTCCCCATCCTTGATTCCCTATCTCTTACCCTCAGCCATCTCCCACTACCTTCCCACACTGTCTCTGGTATCTATGTTTACTTTCTATACTGTTTTCCCGCCATTTTTTATTGAATTATTAAAGATCTTAATTAATGTAAATGTTTTCATAGCAAACACAGCTGATATATACATTTCCATGAACACAAGTCTAACTTTAGGCTTCCTATAAAGTATCACCTAGCTGAGGCTATATATCTTAACTGCGGTCATCGAATGAATTTTTTTTTTTCCTGAAAGTTTTCTTTTTTTGTGTGACTTAATTTACATTCTTCCCCTAAGAATCATCACAGCATACAAAATGTGATTTCCCATCTAGAATATACTGCATAGTGACTTAATCATGCATATTATTATCCAAAATTTTCTACCTCTCTTTCTGACCCTCTGTCCTTTCCCACCTTCTTCTCCCACTTTCTCTGGTGTCTACAATTGTCTTCTATTCCTTTTCCACCCACATTGTATTGATCACACAATTTCTTAAATAATCTAACTACTTTCAATGGTAAGTTCATATGTTACTATTAAGAAAACCAGTTTTAACTTGAATTATAGAAACGCTAGGAAACAGGTTAGGATTCTTTTCAAATGGTAGTTGCATGAACCTATCAGTTTCATGTACTTTATCTTCTGTTCTGGTTCCATTTTTCCTATTAAATTCTGGGATATAATATTCAACT